GATAATTAAATTCTTCCCAAGCTGGCCCAAGAAATTTAGCATAATAGGTTTTTTTGCAGAAAATTAGGAAGCCAATGCATACAGATCTCTCTCTAATAGCAATTCAGAATATTTCCTTCTATAAAAGTTAAAAGTTTCAACCCTGCTCTCCTTTCCACTTTTGTGAGTCAACAGTCATTTTCTTTTCTTTGAGGGTTTCTACTATATATCCTTTACAAAAATGGCTTGATTTGGTGTGAGAATTAGAGATTCCTGCCTAACGTCAATCTTTATTCAAAGAATTCCAGAGATATAGGGTAGACTGGGAAGTAAAAAGCCTTCCTAGCAAGGAGGAGGAGGAAAAATGACATTGAATATACTTCATGAGTAGCTCCTCCTTTGTTGTGGAAAAAATCACGATACTTACATCAGAAGACAAGACCATGAAGGGTTGGAGAAAACAGGCTTTATTTGTGTACAATGATTCAGAGCATTCGCATGACAGATTCTGAACCCTGAGTTACTCCCAGGGTGTCATTTTTATACAGCTTGCTGCCCACGCTTAACCTAATAGATGACTTCTTATCTACCTTTAACACACTAAAACAGAGAAGTTTATATCTTGAGGCTACACAAGGAAAAAGGAGAAGTTCACACAAACAGTTGTCTTACCACACGGGTAATATTTTACACCATCTGTGACTTTCAGTTGACACTTCTTGTAAAAATGTTTCTTCATAGAATTGCACACAAGTCACCACACTCAGCCAGTTTATAGTATTAGTTAATGCTTTCAAAACATCACCTCTGTTAATTAAAATATAATTCAAAAGTACTTTATCATTTCTCTTAATGGCAATATTCCATCTACCTCACTTAATAAACTCAGTTCAAAAAAAAAGGCAAATTTCCATAAAGCCACCTCCCAGCAACCAATACATCATGAATATCTTATTGGATCAAGGGCAATATATAATCAAACCTTCCTAGAGAAGCAGACAGACCAGATTTCTCTCTCTTGCATCAGAGACCGAAACTATACACAGTCGAAATAAAGTTCAGGGTTTTTTAAATAACTGCTATAACCTCTGTAGAAACTCTTAAGACTCTGAATATCTAACATGGAATTTAAAAAATGCCTCTTTTGCTTTCATATCTCTGACTTGAAGACAAACCCAATGTACTATACCACTAGTTCAGTTTTTGAAACAAGTAAGATCTGTTCCACTTTATCTCGCCTTTCTAATTGCCCAATAACCTGAATGGAGAAAAATTCCACTCATGGATTAGACAGTGACCGATCCTGAATCATCACCTTCCCACTTATAATGCAGTCTTTTCTGCACTTCTAGGAATAAATATACCATAGTATGCTCAGTCAATCAAATGCCTAGCTAGACTCCCACAAATAACCTATTGTAGCTTCGTAGTGGAAATTCCATAGCTCTATTGGATTCCTTTTTTCCACTTTCAGGGATACCTTTAGTTTATGACCCCCATTTTTTGGTCTTCATGAAGATATGTTTGACTGGCTTTATAGACCTGCTTTTACAGACTGGATACTATATCTGGGAAGAGAATCTTTTTTGTTACTGATGGTATTTCAGGTATCTCTAATATTTCCCCAGACCTGCAACAAACTATGATGTAATAAATCCATTTTTTGCACCACTGAAAGTCTCCTTGGCTAACAGGCTCCTACAAGTCTTTGTCATTGCTTTCTGGAATATTGCCATTTGAAAAATGTTTATGGAGATTCTCACAGTTGCCTTTAAAAAAGCATCTTTGGGACATGCCAATTGGAAAACCAGGAAAAGGAATTTCTGTGCTGTATTATCCAATTTGATATCCTTCTGTTTCAGTAAACATGGTGAGTCAGTGACCCAGAATGGGTCAAGGAAGACACTATGCAGGATTAAGTATTCATGTCTCAGCCTTAACATCAAGATTATTAGACTCAATAAGGATGTGTGCCTTGCTTCCATCTCAACTTTCCCAATCAGAATTCGCTGCTGATAACTGTTTATATTCCTCCCACTATCTCTTATCCTCATAATCCAGAAATCTGGTCAATAGCAGAAGTCTAGAGCATCAGGCTAGAAACAAGGAGACCATGAGTTTTAATGTGGCTTTAGGCACAAAGCCAGCTGGATGACCTTGGGCTAGTCACTTTCTCTCAGTTCTTGGAAGGAGGCAGTGCTAAGCCACCTCTAAAAAAAACTTCAGGGACTTGTCCAGGCAGTGTCTGAGAATTGGACCAACTCCATTTTGTGCTCTTTGGATTCCCCATGCAAGGCTCCTTTTTGGAAGACCTAAAGAACAGGCCGCCTCATCTCCAGGGAAAGAATACTCCATAGGGCAGGGGAATGGCAGAGAAGGCTCTTTTCCTAGATCCTGCCAGCCCAGAGTTCTTTAATTGATGGGGTCTGCAACATACCTTCCCTGCCTAACTGCGTGGGCTGGGCCAATGTAATGGAGTGAAGCAGCTTCCATAAGAAGCCTGGCCCCATGCCATGTAGGGCTTTATAAGTCATAATCAGCAGCTTAAATTAGACCCAGAAGCCAACTGGTGCAGTTCATGGAGCAGAGATGTTTCATGTGCCCTTCTTTTGGGACCCAAAACAGCTCAATATGCTGCACTTTGCACTACTTGGAGCTTCCAGATGCTTTCAATATATACCTAGCTATTCAATATAGGAGTAGTTTCTGGAGTGAGAAAGTTTTATTGCTACAGCTGTATAAATTTGTCACATTGTTGTATTTGTGAAGTAATCTGTAATTGAATTTGACTCAAAATCTAAAGATAAATATAAATCTTATCCATACTGTTGTTAATATTTCCCATACCTTCCATGAAGAACAATAGAAATTTGGATTGTTTTTCATTTTCTTCTACTTCAGGAATTTTCTTCATATTGAATGAATTGCACTCAACTACCTGCTAACTCATAACACCCAGAAATTGTTCATAGGATCAATCATCAACAAGCAGTCAATATCTTATAATATCTGTCTATATAGGTATATCATCGTGACTTGTATTACTGCTGATAAAATTATTTTAAGGAGTGTGTTTATTCATTGCTTGAACCAAGAAAGATAATTTACTGCAGAGCTTTATCTATTTAATGGTTTGCCAATGTGTGACTCAGTACACTAACTGCAGTGTATAGCAGAATATGGTTTTAACTCAAAGAGGATATTAAAAACTTGGCTTATCTCTTCTAATAACAGAGTTTAACTACATTGACAGAGGGATAGCAAATAATCTACTCAAATTAAAATAACAGAATTATTTATTGTAAAACAATTAACAAATTATTCCCCTGTTGTTGCAAACCCAGTTACACAAATCTATTTTGGATGGTGAAGTCCTGGGTGCTCTTTGAGTTTGATTGTTTGCTTGCAGGCATTTCATTAGCCAACTGCAAAAAATCATTGGGATGAGACAGTTTATACTACTTTTATATACAGTAATTTGCCCTGCCAGTATATACAGTGTTTTCTCCTTGATAGTTCCTTGATTAGAGTATTTCTTTTCTGCTTAATTGCCTGCTTATCTGATGTTGGCTGCTGGAGAGGATGCATTCTGGTCTTTTCGTTTCCTTCTCAGCTTTTTTATAGTCTCTTTTGGATGGATGGAATGAATGAAACCTGTTTGAATGTAATTAAATTAAATGTGTATTTTTATAGCCAAACACATTGAGCCACCTATAAATTAGATGAACAACCGCTCAAAGAGGAACTTGACTTTGAGATAACGCTGTACAGAAACACTTTGAATAGCCTTCAAAACCACTACTAACTTCCTGTCCGAAAACCAAGAGTTGGGTTTACCACTGATCTCTCACAACATAAAGCAACAGCAGTTCAGTTTAAGTGAATTAGCATTGGCTTGAAATACTGTACTGAAATTCCTCTGATAAAAATATTTTCATCAGAATTAAACTGCTGCTAACTACATTGACTGATTTAACCTTAAGAAGTCTGGAAACAAACAGTTTATCAAATTTCCAAGTGACTGGGTTCACAATTTCTTTACAGTCCTCAATGCAGCCTATCACAAATCTAGTTGCTTCAATTACAGCTGAAGAAGATCCAGTCCTAGACTGTTGTTGTATGGGATATCTTAGGGCTTGACTCTGTCCCTGAATAGGGACTGTAGGGACATAAAAAGGGAATTTAGTTGGCAGGATTAGATTAAAAGTATTGTGAGTTGAGTGGACTGGTAATTTGAAATCTCATTAGCAGAATCATTTTTTCAAAATTCCCTCAATAAAATATGCTTATGAACAATTGCCTGGCCAGACTAAATATCCTGACATGCCCTTCTTTGTAAAGCTGAGACCTCCTACAAAGGTTTTTTTCCCTTCAGAGAAGCCTCAGATTTTTAGAGTTTGCCATGGTCTGGCAATAAATACCTAAAAATTCAATATTTCAAAGTTAGCAGCAGAAAAGGCAAAGATAAATAATCTGTTGGATAAATAATCTATTTTGTAGATGCAAGAAGCTCTTGAATTTTGGAAGGATATCTGTTAGCATCTTCTGTATAGTCTTCTTGACACTTCTGTAATAGTAAACTGCCTGACAAGACTGTCAATAAAATTTCATAAGATAAAATAAGATAACCTTTATTGTAATTTTTTTTCCTGTGGGCAAAACGGCACACATCAAAAATAAAATTTAGTTGCCCCCTCTCAAAGTGAAACATACATGACACACACCTAAACATACATGACACACAACACATGTATAGACCCACAGCCCTACATATACATAACAAATAAATATTAAATGTTTGACTTGAATCATTTTTACATTTCCCAGTTTCTTTATCAACTGTACTTTTTATACTAACAAAGATAAATGTTACAATTTACAATTAACTGATGTTAAACTTTTGGGACCTGATTTACCTCCAATACAGATGTGTTGGCAATACAGTTTGTGTCTGACCCAGTATGATTGTGGTGTGTAAGGACATTGAGAAGATGTTTATAATATCCTTTCTTTTTTTCCAGGTGACAGGGTGAGAATTGAATGCCTGCAGACTCACTAGCTTCCAACACATTCTTTCCAAAGTGTCAGGTGTCATGAGGTGTTCCCTGAAACGATCACTTGCAACAGCCTTTTCTCTGTTTGTGTTGCTACTCATCATGAATCTGGCTTCTTGGCACCATGAAGAGGTTGCGATGGTAAGTGTAACATAACACATTTGCTGAGAGAGAGGGAAGAGGGAGAGAGAGAAGAGAAGAGAGATATCACGTGAAGTGTTAATACCACTTTATAATGCCTTGGTAAGATCACATTTGGAATACTGCTTCCAATTTTGGTTGCCTGAGATGCTAGAAAGAGTACAGAAAACAAGCAACAAAGATGATTAGGGGACTGGAGACTAAAACACATAAGGAACAGTTGCTGGGATAGGGTATGTCTAGTTAAATGAAGAGAAGGACGAGAGGGGACATGATAGCAGTGTTCCAATATCTCAGGGGCTGCCACAAAGAAGAGGGAGTCAAGCTATTCTCCAAAGCGCCTGAAGGAAGGACAAGAAGCAACGGATGGAAACTAATCAAGGAGAGAAGCAACCCAGAGCTAAGGAGAAATTTCCTGATATTTAGAACAATCGGTGGAATATCTTTCCCCCAGAAATTGTGAATGCTCCAACACTGGAAAAAGTTTAAGAAGAAATTGGACATTCATTTGTCTGAAGTGGTATAGGATATCCTGCCCGAGCAGGAGGTTGGACTAGAAGACCTCCAAGGTCCTTTCCATTTCTGTTATTCTGAGTTTCTCTTTCTTAAAAAAGGTTTATTAAACGTTGGAAGCTCAGAGAGGCTTTTTGTGTTTTAGTTTCTAAATCCAAATGCATGGGCGGATTTTCTTATCAGAAAAATAATTATATTGCAGCACTGCAATGAGAGACAATGACAAGTTCCTGCTTTACTGAAATCATGTCATAGCCATAGAAAGTACTGCACTGATTGGGTGAACATTTACTACTATTGCCTGTTTCTGCACAGAACGATGTTCAGCAGTGGGCTCAAAGAGTGGGTCTGCACCATACTGTGTCTCACTGGACCGTTTATAGCCTCCGAATGTTTATCAATGCCACCAACACGTTGAATATCTCTTATGACTACCTTGCTGGTTTGCCTCCACTCCGGAAAAGTAAGTACCAGGAAAAAGCAGATCAGTACAGGTAATTCTTGAGTTATGACCACAAGTGGGACCAGAATTTCTATTGTAAATTAGTGCAGTCATAAAAGGAATGACCAGGCCCAATTTTACAATCATTTTTACCACAGGCATTAAGTGAATCACCATGGATATTAAGCGTATTATGCAGTTGTTAAACGAAATTTGCTTCTCCAATTGACTTTCCTTACAGGAAGCCAGCTGGAAAGTTTGCAAATAGCAATCATGTCATTGCAACCCTAGTAAGTGCAAGCTGGTTACCAAGTGCCTGAATTGCGACAAAGTGACCATAGAGGTGGTGCAACAGTTGTAACTTCGAGGACTAGCTCCAAAGATAAGTGGAATTCATTTTAGGACATCCAAACAGGCAAGCCTTTGTGATGGCTAAGATTTTTGAAGCAAAAATAAAGCACTGTTCCTATCTTTAATCAAAAAGTACTCCAAGAGAACAATAATCTTCATGCCGATTTATTTCGATAGATAGGACAACTATACTGCTTTTCTGCTCAGTGGTAGCCTCATGCTGACACCCAGTGAATAATAGATCTAATAGAGCAGAGTGTGTAATGGTAGATCTTTCTTCCTCGTTTCTGTTTCCAAGTGGAAACAGGCTGTTGCTATTGCTCAGACTCTTAAGAGGATGCAGTTGGTTGGTGCATCTCATTTCCATCTCAGTGGCTCATTTATAATTTGGCTCCCCTTTCCTTTAGCAATCAGAATTTTGGTTATATCTCACAATAGTTAAGGAGAGGAAAGGGTGCAAGCAGAGGAACAGGCATGTACTAAAAGTTTTATCTATCCTTTTTTGGTATGAGTGGTGCCTTTGAGTCAGTATTGACTCCTGAAGTCTGCTTGGACAAGTCCCTGCAGTTTTCTTGGCAACATTTTTGGAAATGTTTGCCATTGCCTCCTTCATAGGGCTGAGAGAAATTAAGTAGCCCAAAAGTAACCCAACTGGCTTTGTGCCTAAGGCAAGATTAGAACCCACAGTCTCTGGTTTCTAGCCTTGTGCCTTGACCACTACACCAAACTGGCTTTTATGTCTTTCCTACTGCCTATGAAATATAAAAGGAAGAGGGTACAGAGTCTGATTTAAGAAGAATAAAGCAGTACTTCTGGGTTGTGGGTCTATGTTGTGGGCACCTGGCCAAATATGCCTTTATGGAACCATTGCCACCTGCACTGCTGATGGAAACGAGAAGTATGCAGCTATTGGTCTCTAATCAGCTTCATCCTCCCCCATGTTTGTGCTCCTTGTTTATTGTACTTTTATTGTGGAGGACCATTTTTTCCTTCTATCTTTGTTTCTGATCTGACTTGGCCAGAAAACCACTAGCTGCATATTATAAACTCAGTGAAATTTTTCAAAGCATCTTAAGGAAATGCATTGATGTTCCAGGTAGCTCTAGTTTTTTCCTGGAATATTTAAAGGAGACAAAAGCAAAATATGTCCTAACATGTTTGAAATTAACAGATTTATTATATTGCAGGATTCTTGTTTCTGTTAAGTGGCCCAGGCTTTCCAATCAGGTTCCACGTATACCACAGATAACAGGAATTCAATTTTCATAATCCTATAACAAGCATGACTTGTTGGAAAGGCAATGTATGAAAGTGATACACAATAAGAACATAATAAAACCTCTGCTGCATAAGATAACTTTTTTTGAAAACATACATAAAGGCAATCATTACCTCTACATCTGGACATGGAATTGGTCTAAATATTTTAAAATTACTAGAACTAGAGTTGTTGCCTCTCTTGTAATAATTTCCACGAGTGCAAAATTACTTTCCTTGTTTGTTCTAAAACTAGTGACAGTCATTTTTAATTAATGCCCTGGGTTTCTTGTTGATTGATGCATATACCAGCTACATTAAGACTGCAAATATACAGAATAAATAGGTACGTGACTTGCAAGGTTCAAACTTACAAGATGTATATACTTTTTCTTTTTACTGCAGAGTTTCTGACTTTAGGACTCTGTTCTGTCAAGCGGATGAGAGTGGACTATCTCCTGGATACCCTGACATCCATCTTTGAACAATCTTCTCAAGAAGAGCTGGAGGAAATGGTGGTAGTGGTACATTTAACAGATCTAGAGTATAAATGGAATTCTCAAATGGCGTTGGAAATTGCCAGAAATTTTCCTGATCAGCTCCATCAGAGAAACCTAGTAGTTATCCACACACCTCTTGAGTATTACCCTCCCTTGGAAGGCCTAAAAAGGAATTTTAATGATCCTGAGGATCGGGTCCGCTTTCGATCAAAACAGAATGTTGATTATGCTTACCTCATGAACTTTGCATCCAACCTCTCCACCTACTACCTCATGATTGAGGATGATGTCCGTTGCACCAAACACTTCCTCACAGTAATCAGAAGAATTCTGGTATCCGAGGAGGACACCTCTTGGGTCACTCTGGAATTTTCCAAACTTGGTTACATTGCCAAGCTCTACCATTCTAGTGACATCCCCCAGCTTGCTCGATTCCTCATGCTCTTTTACCAAGAGATGCCTTGTGATTGGCTTTTTGTGCATTTCCGTCTCCTGCTTACACAAAAGGAGGAAATTCGTGTCAGGCAATCCCTTTTCCAGCACGTTGGTCATTATTCCTCCTTCCATGGTACACCAAACAAACTGAAAGATGAAGACTTCGAAGAGGATTTTTCTAAATTCCCTGACAATCCCCCAGCAGATACAGTAACCGATATTGAAACATTTCTGGATCATATACCCCAGAAGGCTTACAGTAGAGTGATAGGCTACTTTTGGGGTAAGGCCCCTTCTTCTGGCAATTCCTTCACAGTTATCTTTAAACGGGCTGCCCCCATCTTCCGCATCCAGATCCATACAGGCTCTCAAGAATACCCAGATAGCTATCTCCATGATGGGGTTGTAGCATTGGGCACTCATAAACTGCATACATCAAGCTCACATTGTGCTAACTATGTCACCATTGGGCACTTTGACAAAGGAAATTTTGACAAGCAGAACCTAGAGAATAGTACTGCCTCTGACCCTGACTGTGTGCACATTTTGGTAACTAACACTCAGACTGAATCGCTGATCATAAATAACATAAGCATCTGGATAAAGCCTAAATCCTGACTCCATTTGAATGAGCAGGATCTCTCACAGTATAAGAACATTGCTTGCAGACAAGATCCTTTCTGGATACAAGAATACAGGATGCGGTGGAAGAAGTTAATTCTGTGTTTTCAGTCCTAATGATGATATGTTTGTGATCTATTATCTTACAGCATAAGAGCCCACCAACAATGTTTTTCAAAAGAGCTACAACTTGCATTGTCTTCTGCTTGTCAGAGACTCTCCTTTTCCAATTGAGTGTTTCCAGGGTTATTTTGCATCAATCTTTTTTTCATTCTCCCCGCAACAATGTAGCTCTATATGAAAATACAGTAAGATAGGACAGGGGTCCCCAACCCCCAGGCTGCAGACTGGTACAGGTCCATGGCCTGTTAGAAACCAGACCGCATAGCTGGAGGTGAGCAATGGGCGAGCAAAACTGCACATGCATGTGTGAGATCTAGGTTGTGTTCTCCATCGCCACCCCACCCTGGTTCTTGAAAAAATTGTCTTCCACAAAACTGGCCCCTGGTACCAAAAAGGCTGGGAAGCACTGAGATAGGATGCTGAAATAAGCTCAGCTGATAGTATTAGGAACCAACTGTGTTTCAAGAACAACTTCCTGTGTTTCTGTTATTCAAGCTTCGTATCTTTAAATGGTAGTTTGGAAAGATGGAGGCTAAAAGTTCCTTGAAGCATAATGTATAACTTTAGATCTGTTAACTTCTAAATCAAACTCAAGGATGTGCTCTTTGGCTTCAGAGATAGGTTGTTCTAGCTCCATCACTGTTAGTACTTGAATTGAGAAGCCACATAAAGAAAAATGATTGTGTTTGTGTTGGGGGGGTTTCAATAAGGTTTTAAATATATCTATAAGAGCAAGTAGGGCCAATGAGTCACTTCCACAGTTTTGCAAATGATAAGTTAATAAGTGAGTAACATTCACAGTTAGATGAAGTAATTTTTACCGAAGTGCAATCTTTTTTCTAAAACCATAGGAACAATAATTTGCACTTTAGCATTGCTGAAGAAATATTTTTAGATATTTTTTAACAAAATTTGTCCAGACACACATTTAATGAATTTTTCTAATTTAAAATTATGATTGCATAATATGTTTTACATAAATGCTGACTGATGAATGTAATTTAAACAGCTGTCACCATATACAAAAATAAGTAGGGTTTACTGTTAATTTTATATTTGTTGCATACAACTTTTTTTTTCTTTTCCTTTTTCTGTATTTTGTTTGTAATTCTTGCTTTTTTGTTGTTTTTCATTATTCTGTAATTTGTATTTTATTTTTGGAAAAATAAAAAAAATTAAAAAAGAACTGTAAAAGGCATTTCAGATTAGCATAAACTGTGACATTGTCATCTGGAATGCAAATTTATTCTATGGCCCAAGTTCAAATTGAAGCAGCAGTATAGGTCTTTACAGCTGAGTCAACTGATGACCAACCTTAAATTCTAGCTATTCTATTGAGCACTTTCAACTCTCCGTTTTATTCAGCTTTTCTAATTTTCTTTAAAACAAACACATTTAACAACAGTTTTGATCTCTTCATAAGAATTGCAAAATCCTTGTGGATACATGAATCCATATTTTAAAAAACTATTGAAGTTTTACAGAAAATTATTATACACTAAATTGATTGTCATTTTGACATATATTCTGAATTTTAATTCTGGATTTCTTTTTTATTATGTGATCTGTTCTCAGGAATGTTTGAATGAAAATATAACAAAATATTTATACAGATTATATTACATGGTACATGTTAGCTTTTTAAAGTGTACCCTATTATAAAAAATAACTAATCCAACTAATATGAGTAACTATGGAACCACTTTTGGTTAAATTATACTATCTATTCTGATTTTTTATTTTTTTGCCAAGTTAATATAAATCAAAACTTTCTAATCTACTGGAACAAGGTGACATTCACCTTGTCAGAATCTCAGAAGCATGTTTTTTTCTTCTTGCTTTTGCATAACTGGAAAATTCTTAGCGTGACCAGTGACTTCCCATGTAGGCAATTAACATGCAGATAGATGTGTCCTAAAATAAAATTAAGGTTACAACAATGTAAACTATGCTGCTTGTATTAACATTTGCAATGCAGCTTTTGCAGAGTACTGAAAATTAGGATTTCTAACGGAGAAGAACTCCCTGGAAGTAGTTACATGATATATTAACTCATAGTTTGGATTGTACATTTATAGTGATCATATATCCCCTTTTGCATAAGTAATATTATGCAGAGTGAAGGAGAGGAATAAGAAATAATATTTCAAAGAAATTAGATTAAAGAAATTAAGGGAATAGGGTATATTTGAATCTGAATTACAGAATATATCTAAAGCTGAAGAGTTTGGACAAGAAAGTAGGCCTGTACAATGCTTTTAAGAGTGGAATCGATCCCAAACAATTGCTTCAGAGCGCAAAGGACTTCTTGCCATCAAGTTACTAAAGCAGCCATATCGTTTCCCAGGCTCATATGGCTATTTCTGGGAGGCTTTTGCAGCAGCAAACCCTGGAAACAGATGTGACCACTTTTATTAATTTCCAAGAGATGTTGCATCTGCATTGTCACTCAGCTTTTCAGCATTAAATCTGGATGCACAAATGCAACAGAAAACCATTCATGAAATGGGTGGAAGTTGAAAGTTCAAAATTGTACTTTTTTCATATTTGAGTTTGTCAGTAAAAAATAAAACCTCTTTATGCAGTATTCTGATCAGAATTTATTTAACTACTATCACATCTGCATTATTAATCTTCAATCTGGTAATAAAATACCGCTGCAAAATATGATCTCTATTCTTCTTCCTGACAAAGTGCACAAGAGTATCCCTTGGTACATTTCTTAACTTTGCAAACTGCATGTTGATTCCATATGCTTTATCAAGTTTCCTTTTCACATCATCATCATCATTCCATTCCAAAAACAGTTGGTTGAAGATTGAACAATCTTTTCTCTGGTGTCTTCTCCAGGATCTTCTAGAACTGCTGTAAATCTCAAGCAATTTTTTTCAGTCCCAATAATGCCACATTGTTAAAAACCTTTCCCATCTTTCTATTTATTACTTCTATTTTATTTTCTAAAATTTCCACTTTGTCATTAATTTAACTTCTCCTGTAACTTTATTTTATTATTTTATTTATATTTATCCCATCTGAATTATTTGGACAAGTAACCCAAGGCACACACATTCCTCCTATTTTCCTCACAATAACAACCGTGTGAGGTGAGTTGGGTTGAGAGACATTGACTAACCCAAGATCACTCTGTCGGCTTTCATGGCTAAGGAAGTACTTGAACCCATGGTCTCCTGCTTTCTAGTTTTGTGCCTTAACCACTAAACCAAACTGGCTCTCTTGTCATATAGTTTCTTTAATTTGATTTGTAAGGTTTTTTCATCTTTACCGATTTTTCTTCCATTCTCACTTCAAAAGCAACCAGCTCACTTTTAATAGATTTGACAGATTCAGATTCCGCCCCCATTTCTTCAGACATCTTTTGTAATATTTCTAGGTTATATATATACTCTTTGCTGTTTGTTGCTTTCTGCCTCACCTTGCAGATTTTCTGGTGATTGCCATTCTTTTACTTATAATTCAAAAGTAAAAGCAAGTCAATTAAAAGGATGAAAATGAAAGTTTCTCCTCCCCCCATCTTTTATCTTTTTATCTTGTTACTTTCAAAGACCTTTTTTCAACTGTAAATTGACTGTATCTGAAAGTAATTAAGAAAGGTCAAACTCAATGTCCTTTAAAAGGCTGCACCTGCATATGTGAGCACACTGTTTCTTCCTCAACTCCATTCCACCTATTCATGAGAAAACCACAGGACCTCCATCCCACAGACTCAGCACAAAGTGGAGAGGTCCAGAGTGCAGGTGGGCAATCACTTAACCTCTCCTTTATCCAGAAAAGCTTTGCTGACCAGAAATTGTTGACTTTCATTCACTATTTTCAGCTCCATCTCCACTCCTTCAGAGACATCTAATCTGCCATAGAACCTCACTTGGAAGCCCAACAACCTCCATGAGGATCTTGAACTGATGAGTGTATATAACAGAGATGCATGACTATCACTGTCATTGTTGCTAAATTTGGACCAGTTGAAGCTTCAAATATTTTTCAAGGGCAGATCCATGTAAATACATTGCACTAGTTGAGCCATGAGTTAACTAGGGCATGAATGACTGTACATATTGTTTTACAGTCTGTTAATAATAGTACTATGGTGTGTGTTTTGCTTTCTATTTTTAAAAGATATACCTGAGTTTCCCCTTATGTACTTATTTATTTATTTATCATGTTTGAATATTGGTATAATCAAAGAATAACTCCAGGGAAATCCAAGGTTCAAAAAAATCAAGCTAGTGGCCATGACACAAATTTAAAAAAGGTACAACTTTGATCACACAGTTGCAATTGCCATCTTTACTTTTTTTAAACCCACCTATAGACCTCCATCCTCTCACCCTTAAACAGCTTCCCAAGTTAAATTGACAAAGTTGCTGTTTGCTCATTTTTAGTTGTATGAGATAAGGAATGGGATAATCTGTATGTCTAACACTCATACCATTCCACGCACTGTGATCAAATAGATTGTCAGAACTGGGGTAACATTCAAGTACCAAGAGTATCCTTTCTTTTACCAACTACCTGTACAGGTAGTTCTTGTTACCATTTTTTCATTTTTGCACCTAGCATCTGTTGAATGCCCACTGAAATGCCTGCAAACATAGCAATGCAGATAAAGCATTTACAGTGATGAACTAAAATAAGAAATATTAAAATACCAAATCAAGGCATTTAAAGCAGGGCTGAAATATTTCATAACTATGACTCAACTTACTATGAGTCTCCCTCATAAAATTTATTCCAGTGGGCCAACATGTATTAGAAAAGGGGGCTTTTGAAAGCAAGAGGCATTTCTCTTCTCATAGGCAGTATTCTTCTCATACTGGCAAAGAAGCACTGAGGTAAAAAAAAAATGGGCAGGACCTGAGTAGATGACACTGGTGTTCCAGCTAGGACCCGCACAGAAATACTAGGGTTGCAGGTCCCTTGTACCCATGATTCCCCAGCTGAACCCTTCAAGTTATGGAGTATCTGAAAGATGCTGCTTTTATCCTTTTTTTTAAACTGAAACATGAGATACCAATAAAATTTCCCAATATTGTATGTTTACTTTTCTCCTGAATTAGCAAGGTAGATCAATCATTTAATTTGCGATGCAGGTACCATGCAGTTGCCATAACAAATATCTGAAACAAATATCAAGATGGATATATTAGTTCAACCTCCAGTTGTCTCAGGTTTTTGTTTAATTAGAACATAACATCAATTTAAGAAGCAAATTTCCTCTTTCCAGAAGGAAATTTTGCCTGATGTAATAAAAAAGAAAAAAGAAATCAGAATATTTAGGAATAACTTAGCTCCCCTCCCCATTATTTTTTGTGTAGTCCCATTCTTTCTTTTGGATACTTGCAAATAGTCCTCTGTTTTATGTTGCTTTAGGTTGCTTTATTACATCTTTATTCCCCTAAGAGATTTTGATATATCAAGGGAAGTAATTTTCTGTGGCCAGTAAATTTAATCAATAAATTTATACTCCATCTTTTACAGAGAATCTTCACAAGATGTATAAAGCAAATAAACAACCAATACAATACATCAAACGTTGATCACCTGAAGCTATAATTTATGTTAACAATGGTTTGTACCAAGTCATGACCTTCTGGAAAGACTAACACATTAAATCAAATTAAGTGAACATTATTGAATCTAATAAAGGGGAGGGCCCAAAGAAAATATGAGCTTCCTTCACATATAGACTCATGCTTGCCTACCTCAGCAGCTAATACTCCTAAACAACAGCCCACAAAAGTCCATGTGTACCAATAAAAGAAATATGAAATTTTACGATAGCAGCCCTGCAATAAATAAAAGAATCATTATGCAAATTTCTCTTATCAGCTTTAACAAAAGTAACACAAATACACAGCATGAATCTCTCTCAAGATGCTGACTTGTAGAAGGGCTTCCTATATTATATATCTGATTAGCAGAGAATGGTTTCTCATCCTCTCTGCATGCCTGATAATTCCTTTAAAACAAAAGTAGGACCCAACTTAAATACCATAATTGGACAATCTGAGATTTGATACTGGTAGTTTCAAACTGAATGTAACTATGCTGAAAATCAATTAAGTTGTAAAGCTGGTACACATAACTAAAATAAACCTTCAAAGATATTTCAGTGATATCATAAACATCTTTTGGGGAGGTGGGGTTTTAAAATTAATTTTTACTTAAATCCTGGCAATTACATGGATAAGTCCATGGTCTTCTTGGCAACACATCAGAAGTGGTTTGTCATTGCCTTCTTCCTAGGGTTGAGAGAAAGTGATTGGCCCAAGATCACCCAGCTAGTTTCTGTGTTTAAGGTGGGCTCTAGAACTTTGATTATGCCAGTCTTCATCCAACTTCTTAACCATTAGACAGAATTGGCTCTCTTAATAATTGTTGTGTGTGTTAGCCTTTGAGTCAGTAGTGATGAATAAGATGTTAACTTTCTAAGAGATTCAACTTTCTCTGTTGGCAGACAAGCGTATGAGAATTTTAAAAATGCAAATGCTAATTACTTACATTATCAGAGTCAAAAGCAGGAGAGTAATTATATCAGTAAAGGTCCTATTTAGCTGTTATCAGTAAATTACAACTCTTTGTCTAAGGATTACGATGATTAAATAGCATGCAGATGAGCAAACATCCTTACCAAATTATTGACATATCCAATTGTTCCTTCCTGACAGAGCTTCACATCCAGAATCTCCTCAGGTGCGGGGGACTTGGCTCGAGTACAACAAGCTTGTGGCCATAAGTCATCTGGCTGGTTTTCTCTGAACAATTCAGCATTTTTAAAATCTCCAGGTCCTAAAATTCCACAACACCGAAACTAAAAAAGAACAAAAGTGTAGCAATAAAATCTTAATCCCCTAAAGTTATTTAATTAAGCTAATTTCTTAGGGATTCTTTTTGCTATCTGAAATTCTAAGAATTTTTGCAACCATTTCTCTTTATAGTTCCTGGGATTATTTATTTTATTTTGCTAATATGTGTGTACAAGAATTCAAAAGTAGTGACATTAGGCTGTCAATAAATAGTATGTTCTGATAATTTCATAAAAATGTCCTGTAGTAATAGTAAATAGTCATAAAGTATTTAGAAAAGGTAATTTTCTTAAGTTTGCATTATTTACTAGTTTTCTTTCTTAGAACAGATACATCTTTGGAGATCCATCTTTCTCTGTTCTTTCTGTATCAAGTTGATTCTTATAAGAAACAAGATGTAGAAGTAATTGTACTTAGGGATGCTAGACTAGTTTTATATTTGTGATTAGAATGATTAAGCCCATATTGTGATGAAGACTAGTGACTGAAGCTTTTCCCTAGGAATGCTTATGAAGAGCAAGTTATAACTCCCATTTTAAGCATCGTGTGCACTGTGTAACAATTAATATTGTAATTTTATTGGCTATCACGTTGTTTAAGAAACAAATCAAAGTCCTAAATGGTTTATAGCTAAAGTAAGTGAAGGATCACTTGCTCCCATTTAAAATCTGTACAACTATTCAAAATTTAATCAAAATTTCTCCAACTTTTGTGGTTGTAACAGCTATAAAAGAGCTCCCCCCTCCCACTTCTTTAAGCAATTTTTCTACTCTGAGGTGGGGGAGGAAGAGGGAAAACAACAACAATCTCTGTAGGCATCTTTTAGTTTTTCTCCTTTTCCCCAAGGGAGAGATTGGAGAAGAAGGGATTGCAATAGAGTAAGAAAGCACACAATGGAGAATATACCTGCTGTTTGCATAGCATCATGGCTGCTCCCAGCAGGTTGCTTTTGATGTGTATTCCCCTTGTGTGCCTGATTACTTATTGTAATGCCTTCCTCTCCAATGAATTTAATACAAACATTAATTCCCTTCTTACTAATTATCCCAGTTTGGGATGAACATTCCCAAAGGGCAACAGAAGGTGTCAAACTAATTAATCTTGTAAATTATAGGCAGCAACTGCCAGTCAGTTACCTCCCAGTGTTTCTCAACCTTGACAATTTTAAGGCATGTGGACTTCAACTCCCAGAATTCTGGGAGTTGAAGTCCACATGCCTTAAAATTGTCAAGGTTGAGAAACACTGGGCCCAGGGTAAGTATTTCAAACGATAGAGGAAGATGAAAAAGGAAAGAACAATCACAATCACATGATTTGCCACTTAGCAGCTACTTCAACAATAGAGCTGCTAGTTCCAACTGTGTTTGCTAAACCAGAGCTACCTATATGTATACATAATCAAAGTTTAACTAAATTTAAGTAAGACTGGCTTCAATATATACTATATATTACACAGCAAGGCAAATGTATATAGAAATGCACACATGCATGCACACGTATACACACAAACACACACACAAAACCTATGGGTGATATGTGTCCTCTATCTCAGTTCCCCAACCAGAGACCTGGGAGTTTAAGGTTCTGCATATTATCTTACTATCTAGCACTACCCTTTTCTGGACAGAGAGTTGTTACTGGGATCTGTTGGAGCACCTATCCCAGCCCAAGCCTCACAGCCTCTAATGTTCCTACCATGTTGGGATACCCACATGTAGTCACACAAATACTAATTTAAAGATAGCAATATTTTAAAATATATTAAGTATTTCTATCCAAAATATATTTCTATAAATAGAGGTGACCTGTTACAAGTTTTTGTTGATATAACTTAAAAATAGAGATTAAATGTGAGTGAAATCTCCTGTTTTAAAAATCAATTAAAGGATTCTTTAAGATTATTTTGTGCTACGGTAATTTTTAAGCCATTATTACATATTATAGTTTCAAGTATTATGGATCCAAAGAAAGACTTTAGTTTTTCATTATTTTATTATGTTACACCTGAGACCTAACAATTTAAAAATATGTAACTTGTTGTCTTGCCCATTTGTATATTCTTGGGAAAATAGATTTAAAGCTACAGTAATATAAATTATTAAAAACTCTTGTATAATCTTTCCAGTTTCCTCAAAAATGTTCAACTAAATGATAACACGCATCAATAATAATAATAATAATAATAATAATAATAATAATAATAATAATAATAAAGTTGGAAGGGACCTTGGAGGTCATCTAGTCTAACCCCCTGCTCAGGCAGGAAACCCTATACCATTTCAGATAAATGGCTGTCCAGTCTCTTCTTAAAAACTTCCAATGTTGGAAGTTTTGTTTACATCTCTTTCAAAATAGTATAAAAATTTCAGTTTATCTAGTTAAGGAAGTGTACTTTAATAACCAATACTTTACCATTTTCTGAAATAGATATAAAAGGAATTTAATGTCATGAAGAGTTCAAACTGAGTTATAACATTTATATTAATTCCTCTTTCAATGATATTTTAAGGCTTTCGAGATAACATATTGCATTGGATACAAGACTTTTATATAACATTTTACGTGTTGTGGTAATATACCATTTACTCTTAATGTTAATGACTAACAAAATCTCATGACCTTAAGATAAAATTATTGCTCATCTTGCATTACCATGATCATGAAGCCATTTAAAGCTTTAGAGTATACATTAAAGCCATCGTCTCCATGATACTTCTGTTCCAGCTGACTTACAAGGTATTTGTCACGGATCTGAAAAAAAGTGTAGAATTTATCTCACTACCAAGCACAAAGCCTCAAGTGGTTATGCTAGACATGGTAGGGATGTCAAAGCATGTGAAGTTTTATGTCATCAATCATATTTTTAAAATATTCTTTTACCAGTTGTTACACATAGAAAACCAAAGAAGGGACATTTTTTTTCTCAAGATTCATCCACAAGGCCAGTGTATGACAAATTCAATAAGCAATCTATTTCTCCATGATCCTCTCTAGCAAGTTTGATTCAAAGATATGTCTACATAGAAAAACCTCATATTTATATGAAAAAAAAGAATTCTAAAAACAATAGAAAAACTGTTTTGGAGGCTTTAGGAAGCGAAAAAGATGAAAAATTACAGACACATGCTCTAATCCGACTCATTATTACCTTTGCTGCAAAGAAATAAAGGAGTATAATAATCAGAAGCTTCACAATGGAGATCACCAGGATCAGTATGACGAACTGTAAAGTGAAAATAACATGCAAAATTATGCCCATCTCTTCCATACATACACAAAAGACTCCAGCTTGCAGGTCATATTCTTCACATGGAGAACAATCAAATCCCTAAGATGACAATGAGATGGACCCCCCCCCCACCCTGATGCCAATCGACCAGGAGGACACCTTAAAATACATATTGAAGAATGTTCACGAAAGACTTAAAGACTCTAAACATCACATGGGAAGATAATAATAATAACAATAATAATAATAGCAGGAGCAACAACAACAATAATAATAGTTGGAAGGGACCTTGGAGATCATCTAGTGGTCCAACCCCCTGTTCAGGCAAGAAACCCTATATCATTTCAGACAAATGGCTGTCCAGTCTCTTCTTAAAAACTTCCAGTGTTAGAGCATTCACCACTTCTGGAGGCAGGTTGTTCCACTGATTAATTGTTCTAACTGTCAGGAAATTTCTCCTTAGTTCTAGATTCCTTCTCTCTTTGGTTAGTTTCCATCCGTTGCTTCTTGTCCTGTCTTCAGATACTTTGGAGAATAGCTTGACTCCCTCTTCTTGTAGTAACCCCTGAGATATTGGAACACCGCTATCAAGTCCCCCCCCCCCCGTCCTTCTCTTCATTAAACTAGACATACCCAATTCCAGCAGCCATTCCTTATATGCTTTAGCCTCCAGTCCCCTAATCATCTTTGTTGCTCTTCTCTGTACTCTTTCTAGAGTCTCAACATCTTTTTTACATCGCGGTGACCAAAACTGGATGCAGTTTTCCAAGTGTGGCCTTACCAAGGCATTATAAAGTGGTATTAACACTTCATGTGATCTTGATTCTATTCTTCTGTTAATGCAGCCTAGCACAGTGTTGGCTTTTTTGGCAGAAGCAGCACACTGCTGGCTCATATTTAAGTGATTGTCCACTAGGACTCTGAGATCCATCTCACAGTTGCTACTATTGAGCAAGGTACCACCTATACTATACCTGTGCATTGGTTTTTCTTGCCTAAATGTAGAACCTTACTTTTTTCACCATTGAATTTCATTTTGTTAGATAGCACCCAATGTCCAAGTCTGTCAATATCCTTCTGTATCTTAAACCTGTCTTCTGGAGTGTTGGTTATTCTTGCCACCTTGGTGTCATCTGCAAATCTGATGAGTTCCCCATCTATCCCCTCATCCAAATCATTGAAGAAGATGTTGAAGAACACTAGGCCCAGAACAGAGCCCTTGAGCACCCCACTACACACTTCCCTCCATGTAGATGCAATTCCATTGAGGACCACACACTGAGTACGGCTGGTCAGCCAGCTACAAATCCATTTGGTGGTGATGTTGTCTAATCCACATTTTTCTATCTTATCAAGTAGTCCGTTGCAGTCTACTTTATCAAATGCCCTGCTGAAGTCCAAGTAAATTATATCCACAGCATTCCTCTGGTCCACTAATTTTGTCACCTGGCCAAAGAATGCAATAAGATTTGTCTGGCATGATCTGTTTTTGACAAACCCATGTTGGCTTTTGGTAATGGCTTTGTTTTGCCTCTAGGTGTTCGCTGATTCATTGTTTGATTATCTTTTCCAAGATCTTCCCAAGTATTGAAGTCAGGCTGATAGGTCTGTAGTTTCCTGGATCTGGTTTTTTTCCTTTTTTGAAGATGGGAACTACTTCAGCTCTCTTCCAGTCATCTGGTAATGCTCCAGGACCTTTGAAAGATATAGTGGAGTGGTTCTGAGATCACATCTGCCAGTTTCTTTAGAATCTTGGGGTGTAGTCTATCTGGCCCTGGTGATTTGAACTTATCTAGGGTGGACAGGTGCTCACTTACTATTTTCTTGCCTATCTTAATTTGTGTTTCTAATCTGTTTTTTACGCTACTGTTTTTGATAGGTTGGGCTGTTTTTTCCCTTTGTGTAAATACGGATGAATAGTTGTGCTTTCTCCCTGTTGCTTGTCACCTTCTTGCCACTTTCTCCCACTAATGGTGATGCTACAGTATTCACTCAAGAACAATATTCTAGAGATCCTTTGCTGCCCGATATGCTACATAGCATGGGAGGATCTAATGCTAATGCTTCCAAACAAAATGTTAGAAGTGGATGTCATGTAGGAGCTTAATCAGGAGATCTCTATTAATAACAATAATAGAAAATTGCTTTTTTCATAATAATTTATGGTGCATCTAGCAGAAATATGCAGGTTTAAACCATAGCTCTAACAACTATCAGACTGCATTATTCTTAGTCATTGCACATAATGTTTCAAAGTTATGATATGAATTCCAAACTTACAAATCTCTTGTATGTTTGCATCAATATTCAGTCTTCAATACCAGTGAACTCCCTTCACTTACATTCTTCAACAGCTGTATATCTTCAGCAACAGTTGCATATATGCCCAGATAGCTCAGCCATGAAAGCAGTAGCCCCATAAGGAGGATGATAGAAGCTGCTATATTTAAGAAATAGTTGGGATGGATATCCAGAATTCTTTTAGGGTCAATGATTGCCCAGATAGCCACAATAATAAGGCAGAGTGACCCAATCTGAAAAATACACAGAATAATCATTCAATGTAAAAGTCCTCTGTAAATACTCTTTAAAAAATTCTAGTGGCGCTCAACTTAGATAAGAGTGTTTCTGATGAGGGAATAGTATTCTCTTAGGAATCCAGTTCCAAGGGGAAGACTGGCTCATAAGGTAAAGTGGTCAGATGCTAATTTTGATCAAGATTACTGAAAGGTCTATGAGGCTGCCATCTGGACACCAAAGCACACCTTTAACAGATATTACAAGTCTCACATTTCAGCATTCTGTGGAAAATCCTTTGGCTGCAAGGGTTCTATTTCAGAGGGAAGAGGCAGCATTGGAAGAATATTAACTGTAGATCCCAGCCCAGGTAGATGGTGTTTCAACATATCTAGCTATTGTCCTTCAGAACCCCCCCCCCCCAGAAATTATCTATTGTATAGCAGGTTACTGTTTTTCTTAAGTCTAAAGAGGCTAACTAATCCCAGGCAAACTTCCTGCAGATTGCTGGTCAATTCATAGAGTTTGTGGTAGACCACCTGGTGAATTTTTGCAGACCAATGTTCATCTACAGAACCCAGATTGAGAATTGCTGTTTTAAAGATTTGAGAATTTACTTAGGGCTGTCCTGTACATATAAAATCACACATAAAATAGAAAATAACATGACAAAAAATAACAAATGGCGGACATTGTTTAATATAAGCAAATGTAAAATGATGCACCTTAGTGCCAAAAATCGTAACTACTAATACAAATTAATGGAATCAAAGCTAACAGTGGCTGACAAGAAAAGAGATTTTGAAATAATGCTAAAGTTCAATGACATGTCAACACAATGTGCATTTGCTATAGAAAACGCCCACAGAATGTTAGAGATAGTAAATATTGAAAATAGAGCTATGATACCAATATCATAATAGATTATAATACCAATATTATAATACCCTTATATAAATTAATGATGCGACCAACTCTGAAATATTGAGTGCAGCTCTGGTCATTGCACCTGAAAAAGGATATAGTGGTGCTGAAGATTTAGAGGAAGGTAACAAAGATGATTAAGAGGCTGGAGCAGCTTCCTGATAAATAAAGGTTGCAACATCTAGGAAGGAAGTAAATCAGAGGGGATATGATTGGGTATGTAAAATTATATGTATATTTGCTGCCATAAGAATGATGTTGGCTACCAGTTTGAATGGCCTTAAAAAGGGTTGGACAAATTCATGGAAGTCAGGTGAATCAGTGACTATTAGTGCTCATGGCCTAGTGTGACTGTTTCTGACGACTATCTGCTTGGAAATTAGTGGAGCTTCCTTCTTTTGTTGGTTGGCCTCTATGACAACAAATTGCTGGATCAGATAGGCTGGGGTCTAATCACATAAGGCACTGCTTATGCTGAAGTACAATTTATCAGAATTTTCCTGGCTTTCATTATTTCAGAAGAATTTAAAATTTACAAGCATACCTGTATTTTTTTCACTGTGTACACAGTAACAGGGCTCCCCAACCTCTGGGCTTCAGCCCGTTCAGAACCAGGCTGCGGAATAAGGGAAAGGGGTGATTATGCATGCACAACTCCATTTGCTCATGCAGAACCATCCCCTCCCCCCCAAAGCCTGAAAGGTTGGGGAACGCTGCACAGTAAGGAAGCATTTCAGATTTTAGCAAATGAAATAACTGACCATCCACCTAAGATGATGCACAAGGCTTAAGCAGTTCTCATTTATATCAATGGGCCAAGTTTGGTTTATTTTAAGCACAGTCCTATAATACTTACAAACACCAGAACACAGAAGAAAAACATCAGGTACTTCATGCAAAGTACTGTATCCATTTTAAGGCTAATATGAGTTGTTTGGATTTCAGCAGAAATAAGCAACAATCTCTGTAGAGAAAGGAGAGGGAGATCAATATGGGTTTGTCTTAGCTCTATCTTATTCATTTTCCATCCTTTATCTGAAAACAGTACTCAAACGGATGAGCAAACCTAAATTAGATACTCTCTAACACTGCTGAAGCAGTGCTGATTATCTTCTAGTCACTTTAGACTTCAGCTCCGGCAGTCTCAATTAACATGGCTAATGGTGAAAGATTATGAAAATTGTAGTTCAAAACTCCCGGAAGACACCATATTGTCTGTTCTGAGATACAGTGTAGATTTACCTTGGATGAAACACCATTGAATATAATAAGGCTTGTTTTGAAGTGCCTATGTAGGATTTGACTTCTAAAAACTGATGTTCCTGTTTCTAAATGCTGTCCAAGGTCACATATGACTTAATCTCTAATACTTATCACAATAAAATATTCTATTATAAAGAAAAAAATGCATTTCAATAAAAAGCCCCTAAAAATTTAACTAATTTAACTAAACTAAACATTTCTTTATTTCAGTAGGTTGTTACTGCTTCTGCCTTTACTTTTTTTCTCTCTATATCCATCTATATACAACTAAAACTCCCATGTCTGTTTGCTTGTAATCTTCAATTGGGCAAAAAGGTGTATAATAATAATAATAATAATAATAATAATAATGTTGGAAGGGACCTTGGAGGTCATCTAGTCCAACCCCTGCTCATAGGGCAATAATTTTTAAATCAGTGTACTTCAGATGAGCTAACTAAAAGATGCATCCAATATCTGAAATCCATGGCTCCAATGGAATTGAAATTTGGCTAAGTTGTGGCTCGCTCAGTGCTACCATGTTGCTGGACCACCACCATGCCATGCTCTGCCATCATCACGTTATCATTTCCAGAAATCACTCCCACTCCCACTGCTCTTTTGCCCTCCTCTGATCATTCTGTTTTTCTATTTAGTTAAGGAGAGATCTTTGAAACAATGACCCAGTGAGTCATAGATTCTCTAGTTTTATCTTATGAGCTCCTCAAAAAACCCCAGCTATGTCCATAGTTTTATTATTCAGCCTTAAACCAGATACATACTGGTAATATTAGTCTTACCTTGTTCATAAATTGCCCAGACTGAACCTGTGTTCTTAACTGAACATCCATTCAGATTGTTTAAAACTGGCCTGGTTGTTTTAAAATTGGCTAAAATTTATCTGAATTAGATGGTATTTAGGTATTCTGAAAATTGAACATGCTACCTGACATTTCTGCAAACTGTACATCTAACATCTTTTGACATCAAAATTGCTGAAGAATCCTAGTGATTGTAGGGCAAGGGCAATTTAGAAGCTTATTGTATGCTTCAAATCTTGTATATTAACAGTGGCACAGATATATAAAGATCAGCAGTTCTAAAAGCATATTACAGCTACATTAAAAGTTAACTTATTACTGGGGACTTCTGACTCTGTTAAAATCTCTTTGTAATTCCTCTCTGGACAAGGAGAGGACTTGAAATTGCCCATAAGTGCTCCAGACAGTTGCTTCTTGCTTTCCGCCCATTTGGAGCTCTGGGGGGACAAATGAAAACCATCTTCACTACATTTGGCAACTTCAAAAGGACCCCTGGTTCGCATATTTCCTTTTCTATTTTTTTAAATTTGCTTTTAACTGCTTTTCAGCTATTAGAAACTGTTGAAATGACAAATTTTATTGGGCATTGGGTGAATTTCTTTCAATCCTTAGCAAAATAAGTTTTAAATACAACGACTTTAAAAAATAGTTTTAATAAACAATAAAAGGTTGATTAGAACATTGATTTTGGAAAGTTAAAAAGGGACCAAGGATCCTAATGCATTTGAAATAAAAATTTCAAATTCATTATAAGAATTCTCCCCATAGGAAAACACTGTTATTTCAAATTCTTAAAAAAATGATAGGATGGGACTTTGAAAATTGGACACTAGAGGGAACCAGAAGGAACTGAAGTTAACAATTAAAGGAGAAGAACATTTAAATTTGACTTACTAATATGGATGGAGCAAAATACTTTTACACTTCATGTACTGATGGATATTTGTGACCCAGAAGTTGTCATTATAGATAGGCTGTTTTTAAAAGTTATTATGGAAGGAGAGCAAGTTTTACCACATAGGACTAAGATTGATCTGAAAGCGGATCTAAAAATGGTAGGCTGCAAGAATTATATGAAAAAAGATGCTACACTTTGCATGCAAATGAAACCAGATGAAGTCTTAAAAATTAAATGGGATGCGCAAATAACAAATCAAAAGAGTGACCTAGTTAACTTTTCTAAACTGAATTTACAAAGGACACTTGTTAAGGTTTTGAAGAGTTTTGTGAGAAGAAAGAAAAAAATGAAAATAAATCAAGTTCTAGGACATTATTTGAGGGGATTAAGGATCAAGATTGTTAAACGTGAAATGGTTTATTTGATCAGGGTCAAAATAGGCATGTTGTTATCTCTAGCAACCTTTAATGGGCTTTTGTTCACCAGGACTGAATGACCAGGCTTTAAGGATCTGTAGATATGATATGAGATTACAAAAAGAAGAAATCTTTTGTTGCATTTTAAGAGAAGGTATAAGTTACAAAAATTGTTTATACTGCATATAACTGAGAAGTCAGTTCTTATATATTTCTTTTCTTTCTCTTACTTTCTTTCCTTTCCTGCACTTTCTCTTTTCATTATTTTATTTTTTTAGTTAGTATTCTTTAACTATAACATTTAGTAAAATTATTATTAAAAAGTTAACCATTTTACTGAATGCAGCAAGCAGACTCTTTTATACTATACATAACAATGAAATATTCTGGAAAATAGTTTTGCAGACTATTTGCTTGTTTTCTGGGTCAAAACAGTATAAGGTAAGAATTTGAAGTTTATGATTGGCTTGAATTATGTTGCAGTTAAATAGAACAATGGTGAATGTAAGTACTTGGAAGTGGAAACTTGTAGAAAAAGACTAATTCTTTTTTAAAAGGAATAAGAAGCTTCAAATATAAAATTATTGAAGGACATACTGTATGTATAAGGAAATATAACGATTGAAAAATAGAAAATGTCATAATTAGAGAGAAAAAAATCAGATATAGGCCTGTTACAACATTCTCTTATAGGGAATGTTAAGGTTCCCCAACCTTTTAGATCTAGAGACTCATCTGAAATTTTGAAAGCAGATTATGGGCACTCTCACAAAATGGTAGTCATGGTGGCTGTGGTTAATTACAAAAGAGCCACAAACCAAAAGCATACAAAGCATTAGGTTGCAGCAACCTACCTATTGATGCCTCTGGAGTCCATGTGGCACCCAGAGGAATTGTTGGAAATGCAGGTGTGCTTGAAGTTGTTCTCTTTCTCATTTTAAAATTATTTTTTTAAAAAAAACTAAATGGAAATAAGACAGGTGAGAAAAAAATTGCTAACAAATTATTATTGTACAGTACATCTTAAGACCTAGGTGATATGTTCTTTTTAGATATGTAAATGTTCAAATATGAAAGAGTAGATATATTCAGTGTTAATTGGGGGTTGGGAGGTAGACAGAACTGTTATATGATCATAATAGCAACATTTCTGATTCATTTGTAACTAGGTATTTGTTTGATAAGCAGGATAAGTGTACACAGTAAGTGTATACTTACTGGTATTTCACAAAAATCATCTATGTAATCAACACTGTGTTTAGATGACACTGAATCAGAGCTAACCACATTTTAGCTTAGTATGTTGTCAAAAGCTGTATCATTAGTACCATGTTTACCAACATGTCACAATAAGAGAAAAAGATATACCATACCCCACAAAATTCTATTTATTTGCTTGCGTTATTATTGCCGTGGCTGCTCCCTTCACCCCAGCAGCATTCTGTCTCTCAAACCTGAAAAGGATTGGTCCACCAAAATAAGATAAATATAATTTGCAAGCATCAGAATATTCTTCCCCTAAGCCTAGACCATAATGTAGATTACACAAGGAATGAGCACTAACCGCATATAACAAATTACGCTGTAAGGGGTAAGGTGGGGACTGAAAAAGAAGTGCCGCATTCACTGATCTCTACTGATTTATGTGTATTGGCAGAGAGCTCATCAGTTCTCTGGGGGATTTTAGTTTGTAAGGATTTATTCAAAATTTTACTTATTGCATTTATCCTATGCTTGATTGTCTTTACATTGTGTATTCTAGTAGAGAAGCAAGCAAATGTTTTACAAAAGGCATCTTTCTCTTCCCATGTGGCCTTTTTAACTGCAGAATGTAAGGAAATGAATCTAGTTTTATGATGTTTTGGTTAGATCTTGGTTCCAGCATAGTACAACAGTAAGATTTGAACAATAAAACACTATTTTTGATAAGCAAGGATTGTGCATCTAATCAGACTGTAGAAAGAAATCTTGTCTGTGTCAAAAGTTCTGCCTGGTAATATTAAGCTTTTGGAAATATAGCACTTCCTAGGGAAAGACATTTGCTTTATCCACCTCTCTGGCACATAGCACTTCCAGCTGTTGACTCCTACATTCTAAGTTCTGTCTATTTTTCTTTTCTCTGAATTTCCCAACTTCATTAGCAAAAGAACCGGTACAAACAGTAATATATTCATCGAGGAGATGGACTGGAGACAAGGGATGAGTGTCACTGCATTGGTTTGGTTGAGGAAGCCACAAAGACAGCACCCACCATCTCATTCTCCTTGATATCATAACGCAGCTCTATCTCAGAAGTTATTTGGGATGACAGCACTAACCTTAACTGAACAGGGCATCATTTTCAGGCATTTAGACCATTTTCTAACAAACATTTCTGTTTCAGTCAAACCAAGACTGATGACATACTGTGGTTCAGTGTACCCTGACAATATGGAAAATTGGGTAAATTATAAACCCTGATTAACCATGGATTAATATGTTATGAGAATTCATTGTTGGGGGTTACCCACAATTCAAATACAGCCTTCAGAGGTCTGTCTTGTGATTTTCCATGGTTCGCTCTCTTGCTGCTTGCCTCCTTACCCTCCTACTACTGTCGTTGTCACCATTATGTTTATAGTGAAGTTGCTAATACCACTGCTCAAATCCTGAGATGTTGGGAGCCATTTTGGCAGTTGCTCTGAGGACTCTATGTTCAAACTAGGGCTCAGAACAGCTGCCAACACTTGTGGGCCAGTTCTGCAAGTTCTAGAGGACTCTATGGTTATATGATTGACCATAGAGTTGTCTCAGAGCAACTGCCAGAATGGTTGATTACACTTGCAGCATCAGGGCTGACAGCCCCATATTAAGAGTGACATACATGAGATTGCATCATGATCATCATTATCATCATTTAAAAAAAATTAAATCAGCTAGAAAGGAGGGAAAAGGAAAAGCTTCTTTTTGTACCATTGATCAAATGCATCTGAAGTGATTAATTTGTGAACTGCACAGTATATGAGCTATGGTGATACAATCTGGTCTGATTTTAGGGACTTTTCTGGAAGCTTTTTGTTCATCCAGTTCTATGAAGTCCTAAAGTGTGAGGAAAAGTGGAATATTCAAAAATTTAAGAGTTTTGTAGCATTATTTCATGTTAGCCAATTTTGTAAGCCCAATCACAATACCACTTAGCAATTCACCACCTGATCACCTAATCCTCAACTTACAACCATTTGTTTAGTGACTGTTCTAAGTTATGATAGGACTGGAAAAAGACTTATGTCCATTTTTCACATCTATGACTGTTATAACATCCCCATGATCACATGATCAAAATTTGGACACTTGGCAAACTGGCATGTATTTAGTCTTAGGCTACCAGTGTCATATGATTATCTTTTGCAATTCTCTGACAAGCAGTCAATTGGGAAACCAGATATACTTAACAGCTGTTACTAACTTAACTAGTGATTCACTTAACGACTGTGACAAGAAAGGTCATAAAATGAGGCAAAACTCACTTAACAATTGTCCTGCTTAGCAACAGAAATTTTGGGCTCAGCTGCGGCCCGTCAGTTGAGGACTACTATATTTGTGGTAAATTACATTTAATTTTGTTTTTATTTGGCAAGTTTAAATTCAGTTTTAAAAAACCCATTTTAAATAAGTTATAGATTGGTGCAATATATTAACCCAGCACTGAATCTTCTCAAAAATGCTTATTTAATTGGCTGTATGATTAAATCCTTCTCATCACGTTACCCGCCGAGTATTCTGTATAATTCTAATTCCCTTGCAATTAGTTCTCTAAAAACAAATAATAGATGTTACTGACCTCCTTAGATTTTGAGGTGCAATATTCCCCATTAAACATCCTCTTCATTCATGTATTTTGTTTACATGGATGTAAATATGCATCCCTATATGCATATTTACAATCCCAATTATGGTCCTTGTTTAGTGACCACAATTGGGATAAGCAGCTCCATTAAGTGAAGTGGTTGCTAAGTGAAGCTGCAATTTTGCTTATGAACTTACTTCAGCTTTACTTTACTTTACAGACCTGCAAAGGTCTTAAACATGAGGATTGGTCACAAATTTATTTTTTCATCTCTTTTGTAACTGTACAAAGCAGTCACTAAAGAAAGTCACTATTTGTATTCATAAGCCATCAATATATCCTAATACAACCTACATTAAAGTACTGCTGGTAAAAAAGCTGTCCACACTATATCAAAATTGTACTGTATCTCAAAAATATTTCCAGGGTTGTACAGTCTCTCCTATCATGTATCTCAACTGTGGCTTAATTTAAGTAGAAATTTGCAAGAATAGAACACACATAAAAACCCAAATAATTTGATAATTGTGAATTTATTGGAGCAATTGTGAATTTATTGGAGCTAACTTCTTAAAATAGTTTATCCAAAAATCTTCAGTATTATTGAATCCCATTGTACTATTGACATGTAAATCTCCATGCAAGACAGTAAATTCAATTCTTACTTAAAATGACAAAAGATCCTGGGACTGTACTAGAGTAGATAGGAACATCCAAGACTTCAAATTTTTCCACATGGAGAATGAGTTTAAGCTGTCTTCTCTATTATCTTTAATTAAATGCTTATCTGAAATGTGCAGCCCAGCCACAGTTGACTACCTCAAGACAATGCAGAAAGCATAGAAAGTTGATACGTGTGAATTCTTACAGAATATGCATTTTAAAATGTAACAGTAAGACATAGGTGCCTTTGGAGGGCAATAATTTAATTTTAACTTCAGAAAGACTGTTCTGTGTTGCCAGTTTTTTACAGCTAGTATCACATAAATAAGATCTATAATAGGGATGTTCAGTACTTTAGATCAGCAGTCCCCAACCTTTCTGGTAACAGGGACTGGTTTCATGGAAGACAATTTTTCCATAGACTGGGGGGAGGGGGAATGGTTTCATGTGCAACCTAGATCCCACACTTGTGGAGACAAAGCTTTGCTCACTTACCCACCACTTGTGCAATCTGTTTCCTAACAGGCTGGGGGTTGGGGACCCATTTTAGATTACTAGGAGTAAAGTTGTTTTAGTGTGCATTTAGGTCAGCATGTAGCAACGCCAGACCAAGTGTGTCTTTTCTCAACATCATGCTACCATTATGGAGGACAGCCATGCAATTGTAGGAAGACATGGCTGCTTTAACAAGTTGCTAACAGATACTATATGAACACCCTCAGGCATCCTGAAACATGTTTTTCCCTTAGTATGTGAAATGCTGTACATCCCTAACTTTTCCAAACTACTTTACAAGTTCATAGAGCATTTTGTCTTGTTAAAGCAATACTTCATTCTCATGTTTAGTCTTAAAACAGGTAATATATTTATATTCTTTGTATAATTGCTTGGGAAAAAATAGTAAACTCATTTAAAACAGACAAAATTTTTAAATACGGTACAAAAGTTTCAGATAAGGCTGATATGAGAGACAATTGTGTTGGGTAAGGGTAAGGAACTTTAGACATGCAAATTACACCATCTGATCACAAACATTTCATCCACTGTTACGTGAACAAAAATATAGAACTTATTCTCCAAAGATTAAAAAAGCTCAAGAAAAAAACAGATTTTTTGCCAAAAATAATTCTTGAATCTTTTGCCAACATTATTTTAAATATTCAGTAAAGAACTATTATGATCTGTCTTAATATTTCAATCTCACTATTGAGAGTATATTAACATTATAAAAAAATTAAAAGGAAATTAAATATTTCTTCTTTACTTTGCACCTCTCTTTCTGATTATCTGGGAGGAAACAATGCAGCTCACTGCAGATATCTGTTACCAGCACATATTCTTCTAATGCATTCCGTAAATTTTGATATTACATGGTTATATCCCCAGTGATGTAATTTGCATTATACTGAAAAAGGCCACAGATCCATATGTTGCTTGATCCTTAAGTTAAGGAATATCTATGGAGTTTGCAGGCATTTCATATTTATTTACAGTGATAGATTCATATTCATTATCTTTTAAATATTGTGAAAAATACAATAACATCTACATGTACACATCCAATGAAAAATCTTCAAATGAGGCTGCATTTTCTTCTTCTTTTAAAGGTAAAACTTTAAAATTCAGCAGAAACAGAAGAAATCATTGGTACTGCCTATAGTCCCCAAAAGGAGAGGCCTGTAACTGAGATGGGTCATCAGAAAACTGAGGACCTGTAATTAAAAAAAAAAAAAAAAACAATCATTTAACACTCTGCAGTACATTGCTGCTCTGAATATGTTTCATTAGGGTCAAGGGAGAAAATGGGAATTCTTAGGGTATGATTGTTCTATGCTAATGTGCAATTGGCAAGGCAACCACAGTTCAGAAATTACTGTAATGTGTTAGAACTAGAATTGACAACTGTATGACACCACTATTACACAACGTTTTGATGCCTGTTATGTGAAAGTATTAAAAATTTGCAAATACTTTTAAGTAGCTGCAAATTTTTTATTTGAATGCTTTCTATTTATTGCTATGAAAATTACTGCCACAATATTTAATGGAACTTTTAAACAAAGTAAAATTGTTTCTCAGTAAGAGAATTAAATATCAGGTTTTACAGCACATTAAACTAAGCAATTATCTTACCATTTGGAAATTGCGCAGATGCAAATCTTGTTAACATGATCCCTGCTCCTTCAATTAAAGCTAGAAGAATTCCTCCCATAGCTGCAGACCCAACCATGGCAATTGGTCCATCTAATAAATTTAAAAAACAAAAACAAAAAAAACAAGATTTAGAATAATTTTTAAAAATCATCCTATAATAATACACCAGATTACATTTTATGCTGGAAATATCAACCATATAATTGTAATAATAACTTATTAAATTTATTAAGTGTCCAGCTCCTAGCATTGGACAGTTTACAGTTGCTAAACATTTAAAAACAAAAGAACAGTACACAACACAAAAACAGCATGAGACAAAAGAATAAAGATAGCAATAAAATAAACCCAGAGGGGACTAGAAAGGAAGAAAAGGGTCATTCTCTCCAAAAACTTGGTGAAAATGGGAATGTAAAGCTAAAACACTGAAAATACAGTGTATATTCTTTATAGCAGGAATATACATCCTGCAGCCTAAAGGTCACATATATCACTCCAAAACTTTAGGTGCAACCCCTTCTCCATCCTTTCAAGAAATTCTAATGCAGAAAATTAAGAATAATAAAATATGTACTGATAAATGATCATTTTTCATTTTAATTATTGTCAGAAATTTTAAAAAACGTTCATTCTCAATTTATCGTAGGCAGTATCTCTATAATGGTCCTTACTTCTTGAAGCTAAAATGGCCCCTGTTAAAGCCCCGCTGGTAATAGAATTCCAAGGATCTTCTTTTCCTCTTGCTTTCACCAGGCTACAGTCGATCATGGAGAAGAGACCACCCCAGATAGCAAAGCTACCTATTTGAATGATAAATAATTCAGAACTTATAACCAAAGTTTTAGTGGTCATTTTTAAATATGGATTCTAGCAAAAGAAGCTGGTGTAATTTTATTTAAGTTCAAAAAGAAACAGAATCTTTAGTTATGAGGAAACATACCAAATATTCAAGAATTTAACACAAAAAGGAAGTATAATTAATGCCCACCAGAGCTCCTTAGGGATATTCCAAAGGGCAAATACATTTGTTTAAAATC